ATATTTTAGCGTTTTTGCGATAGCGAATGTTGGTATCCGGCTGCAGTCACACTTACACAAGATACAACTAATACAAAAAAGAGCGAATGCCACCACACTTCTGTTTTAACAATAATATTTATTTTCGTAGCAGCATGCAATCATTCATACACATACGCCAATTTATCAAAGACTTATGTATATACATATGTATATTCTAAACTCGTTATCTGCAATTAAAAAAAAAATTAGTTCGATATAAAAATTCATCTTATTTAGATTTAACTGTAATCGAAAATATAAATGTTATCCTTACGAATCGCTCCTTAGTAAAATGTACTAAGTGAAAATTAAGTCACATAGTCCAAGCAGCTCCAATATCCCAGAGGGCACACCTGTGTGACCAAGGTGATATATGTATGTATGTAAATATGTAAGCTTAAAATACTAGTATGTTTCAGTCGATGCCTAGATACAGTAGCAGATATGCATAGTTAAAACAGTACTTTGTATTTCTCCTATAAGTGGCAACCAACACCTGCTTACACACCCAATACAACAACCAAACTGCTCAGTTTTTAGCTGGCATTTGTGTTCACACTGGTAATAGGAAAGGGTCAAAAGCCCCACCAATCGAACACAACACAACTAATTACAATGGAACTAAAATTACTTCGAAGTTCGAACACGTTAGTCTTTTGCGGTAAGGAACCAACATGTTGAAAGCGCCAAATGGGAGGGAGTCAATATGCGTAAGCGCCGAAACTCTTATACGCAACGTTTGCTCAACTGGCGATTAATGTGGAGCGAATATTCTAAATGTAAGGCACCACAACAAATCTGGTAGTGTGGAGCTCGTGTTGGGTGTGTACGTGATGCAGCTACGGTGACTACGTAGCGGTGATAACATCAGCTGTAGTGGAAATGGTTAAAATAAATATCAGTCAACCAAAGCAAAAGTACACCACATCAGTTGCTTCTTGTTCGTCGGTTCGAGGTGTCGGCGTTTATCGCAGGTAAGCGGTTATCTAATCGCAAACATTTGGTGGATTACGCGACGTGTTTTGACGACTTCAACGACTATTTGTGACAAAAATAAAAAAATAAAAAAAAGCGTTGTAAAAATTGGCATGAATTCTTATGCAGAGGCATTTTTTATGTTAATTAAGTGATGGCTATAAGTAAAATATTAATTAAAAGTTGATATTTATGTGGTTTACGGTCAAGTGGTTCAACAGTTCTTTCTGCATACACAGCAGGGTCAACAGAGAGATTTCGGATTGCATATTTTTCATAAATTTTCGTAATCATCTTTCTACATTAGATACTTAATCTCCTCAGTAAGTTCTGCTTAAGTCTGTTTTACAGCTAAGCATTTACCGGGATCACTTAAGCAACTATTTATTAATACAAGGCAATTAATCTTTATCGGTGCTCCGTGGCGTATGAGTACGAAAATTCCTAATAGAAAATCGTGGGCGCGTATACGCTTCTTTGGTGATTATACATAAATAATTGGATTAGACAAAGTCACAATTTAATTGAAAATGCCTTACAGCCATATATGTAATACTCCTATATTGGCAGTAAGAGCTAGTACCGTCCGAAAACACTACAGTACAGATATATCAATAAACACGTACGAAAGAAAAGGAACACATACGTTTATAAATAAACATGTACACGACACATTTACAAAAACGGCACTCAAGTACACAATACATTGACAAAAACAGTACTAGACTGTCTCGCTTTGATTTCGGAATGCTTACACATTGAGATGTTAGCTTACTACCAATATAGAAGTATTACATACAGCAAATTTAACGAATGCAATTTAAGTGAAAAATAATGATTTTAATTTTTTTAATTTTATATGTAAAAATAAAAAAATCGTTTTCCAGTTAAATTGCTGGTGAAACCGGCTGTTATAGGCAGCGTGCGGTACGTCTGACTCGCGAGGCATCTGTGTACGTGTTGACTTGCCTTTCAACTACACACAGTTGAGCCACTCAGAGTCATGCCAGAGTCATTTCGGTGTAACTAACACATATTTATTTTCACTGACACATCCATACCGACTCGCGAGTCAGAAGTACCGTGCATGCCGTCTATTAGAAAGAAAGAAAGACATTAATTAAAACAATCTTCAGATTTTCTGTTACCTTGTTTATACCAACACATAAAGCGCTTTGACCCAGTTCGAGGTGATTCAAAACGGAAGCATAAACCAACTTTCAATACGTTCAGAAACTCAAAAGTGTATTGACTCGAATTTGTTTTCAAATCGCTTTTTTATTTCTCACATCGGTTAGAAAGCGGGTATAAACACATCACTCATTTGACGCGAAGTGAAAAAGGCTGGTTTTCTTAAATTAATTATTTAAGAAATATCGAATAAAAATAACAAATTTTGTTTACTTTTCAATACGGTTTCAGCGAGTGCGCCTTAACGACACAGGTATAAATGCTTGAAAGGAATATGTGTTGAGCCAAATCAGCTTTTTGTTAATGCGGTTCTTGCGTAGGTATAAACAAGGTATGTCTGCAGTTATGAATCATATTGGATGTTTTCAATAACTAACTATTACAAGGCTAATACGCACAGATTAATCGAACAAATTGAAAGCGCATTGGCACCCCACACATTTCGCTATGGTCTGTACATTTACAGGTTTATAACAGTATAAGCGTAGCGATCTTCCAGAACAAACTAAAAAAAGCTGTTTTCATTCTTCTTCAAAAAGAGCTACAGCAGAAAAATTTTAAACCAGTGGAGTTTTTGAAACATTAAACTTTAATTCGGAATTTTTTTCGTTATTTTCTTGTTAAAATACATGTGTTGTTTATTTTTGTACCGGCAATAAAATATTAGGAAAATAAACATCTTTAAATTTTAATTTTTGAATTTTGAGTGCATATTATATGCGAATATTTTAGATTTTTTAGTGCAAGAGATTCCGAGCCCTAGTGATGGCTATAGGCCAAATTAACTTCCGATGATATATCCACCAAAAAAGTTTAATCTACTGCGTGTTAATATATTTACAATTTGCGAAAACGCAACGATGGGACGATCCACTACTACCACCGTAAATACGCGAAAATCCTCCGGCTGAACCCTCCACGAGGGTGCCGACTGGTAATGGCCACTACAATTTAGGTTCTGTACGATGTCAGAATGGTGTCCAGCTAAGATCAGAAATCAGTGTTATGTGCTTAAGCTCCTCAATAGCTAAGTTATGTGGAAATGGTTTTTGATCGTGGCCTATGGAGGTAATGGAGGAGCAAACCTCTCTAAAAAAGCTCTGGGTTGGAACAAGGTGTTAGACGGCCCGTGCTGATGTTCAGCCTGGCTGGGGACCCAGATTAACAAATAGCCCAGTCTCGAACGGAGTGCTCCGGATACCTGGCGACCTCCGGTTCTATCAAGCCTTACCTGCGCACACGGACCTCTGTGCGGGCGGACCTCCATTGTCCGACACTCGTGGGATCAAAATTATGAGCGCAATTTTCAACAAAAAATAACACAACAAGGAGGACGGCCCTCCAAAAAAACCGACAGGGGTGGCTCCAGTTAATGCTACAGCCTCGAGCAGGGCATTTATCGGACCGCCAGTGACAGGGGTTAGAGGGGCCTTAAGCGGTAGGGCTGGTCCTGGTACGAGTACCATAGGAGGCAGAGGGGGGAGTGGAGGCTTGGGCAAACCGGTCTCCAACCGATTCATGGCTGGAGCTGCAGCGTCAGCTCCGCCTAGGGAAGTCAGACCCCAAAGCACACACACCTTAACCCAAGGGCGGGGTTCGGCACCTGCTTCGAAAATAACCCGGCAGGATGCTGCCGACATTCCGAGCAGCTCGAGGAAAGTTGCAAACACAGGCCTGGGGGGGTCGGCTAAACATGTCCGCCCCTCGAAGCAGGCCTATTATGACAAAAAGGCGGCCATGAGGGTCGTGAACAAGATCGGGGACCTGCCGACAGAGCAGCTCACGGAGGAGCAGGTTAGGTCACTGGAGTGGGCGAGGGGAGTAGTAGCCAGCTTGGGAAGACCGGCAGGCTCTGCTCCAAAAAGACAGCGGTCTGCTGAACAGGCAGGGGGTGGGGTCATCAAAAGACCAAGAACAGGCGGCCATAAATACCCCACCTTCAGGGACGTAGTGAAGGGAGGCGGTGAGGTACTGGCAATCATCGACAGAGGGGAGGAGGAAGGGACTATCCCCAAAGAGAAGTGGAGGTTGGTGGAGGAAGCGATCGCCGAAATCTACCTCCAAGTCCTAGAGGAAAATCCTGGACCTCCTCCTTTCTGCCATGATTCCGGATGGTATCAGGGTAGAGCTAAACTCATCGCCTGCGAGGACCATATGTCAGCCCAGCTCTATAGGTTGGCCGTTAGTAAGGTAGGTGAAGTTTGGCTGGGAGCCAAGCTAGAGGCCGTCAACAAGGAAGATATTCCTAGCAGACCGAGGGCTCGAGTTTGGATTCCGGCCAGACCCGCCGAGCCTGAAAGAATTGAGCGGATCTTCAGATCCTGTAATAAGGACCTGCCAAGTCTTAATTGGAGGGTAGGGAAGATAGAGGAGCCAGTAGAGAATAGAAGGCAGGTGTTGCTGATCCTCAACGCCGAATCGCTAGCCCCACTGGCGCAAAAGGATTGGATGGTGAGATTCGGGTTTAATGACGCAACCATTCGAATCTACCGCAGCGACGAGCCGAGCTTGGACCTTAGTGAGGAGAGCGACAAGTCCGGCCCGCACAGCGGTGGTGAAGAAGGGTTGCCCAGCAGCCAATGCTCATCTGACTCGGAGAGGCTATCCGGATTGGGGCCATTATTCTACGAAGAAGACCTCCTCGCCGATGACACCGAGGGTGAGGAGATCGAAGAGGCGGACGTGGATGTCACGATGGTGGAGGTAAAACGGACAGATTCTGATGAAGCTGATCCAGATCAACCTCCACCACTCTAAACTCGCGTCTGCGAACCTTGAGGTCCGCCTGGCTGCCGGTGGACTCGACGTTGCCCTCATCCAGGAACTGTGGATACACGGCAATAAAATCTGCGGACTTGGGATGAAGGGCTTTAAGCTTATTGCCGCACAAAATGCAGGTAAGACTCGAGCTTGCATATTAGCAAGGAACAACTTAAACATCTTCCTGCTCCCACAGCTTAGTGACGGCGATCTGGTAGTGGCAAGCATTGAGCTGGACAAAACCAGCTTTTGGGTAGCCTCTGCCTACATGGCCCATGACAAGGACGTGCCACCAGATGGGTTTCGGACCTTGGCCGAGGAAGCAGCCTTCAAGAACAAACCACTGGTTGCCTCCTGCGACGCTAATGCCCACAACTTGATGTGGGGGAGTACGGACACGAATGCTAGAGGTGAGTCGTTACTAGACTTCATTCTAGGGAACAAACTTGGTGTCTTGAATTTAGGCTCAGAGCCGACCTTCATAACAAAGAGTAGAGAGGAAGTTTTGGACATAACTCTGGCTTCAGACATGTTTGCCCATAAAATCAAGAGATGGAGAGTACTGAAGGAAAAATCGTATTCTGACCATCGTTATATTGAATTCGAAATAGATCTTAAGACCCCCCAAGTAAGGGAGTTCAGAAATGTTAGAAATACCGACTGGTGGGTTTACAATAATAAATTAAGGACTTTACTGCCAAAGATACCTCCCCGAGACCCCGCCACGCAGGTGGAGCTGGATGGGTTGGTTAATCAGGTTACTAAAGCCATGAATAGTTCTTTGTCAGCCGGGTGCCCGGTTGTTCGATACAGGGGAAAAAGCAAACCACCTTGGTGGTCGAAACAATTATCCTTGTTACGTGAATCTAATAGGTCAATGTTCAACAAGGCCAAAGCCACGAGAGCACCAGAGGACTGGGAAGCCTACAAGGCTGATCTGAAAATATACAAAAAAGCAGTTAGAACTGCGAAACGTAAATCCTGGCAAAGTTACTGCAAGGGAATTGAGGAAACCACGGAAGCGCCCAGATTAAGAAGAATTCTCGCAAAGTCGCCATGCAACCTTGGCTATCTCAAGGGTCAAGGGAACTCATGGACTACGACGAGCGAGGAATCTTTAGGTCTCCTCCTGGACACACACTTCCCTGGAAACAAGCCGGTGGAACCTAATGACCCCCAGAATGAATGGGGGCTATCTGATCTGGGAAACCGACTGATTACAAACGAAAAAATTGAATGGGCTATTAAGACTTTTGGTCCTTACAAGTCACCGGGACTTGATGGAATACACCCGGTAGAGCTACAGCAATCACGGGGTACTATCTCTCCGTTCATTGTGGTTATTATAAGAAGCTGTCTTAACATGGGCTACATCCCGCTAGGCTGGAGAGAGACAAAAGTCTCCTTTAGACCCAAGGCGGGCAGGTCCTCTCATACCAACCCTAAGGACTTCAGACCCATCAGTCTTACGTATTTCCTTCTCAAAATTTTAGAGAGGATAGTGGATGATTATGTACGGGGCGTGATACCAACAAGTAGGCTCTCCCCAGCGCAGCATGCCTATACGAAAGGCAAAACCACGGAAACCGCCTTGCACTCGCTCGTTCGGTTGGTGGAAAGAAGTTTATTCGACAAAGAGTACGCTCTGGTTGCCTTTGTAGACATAGAAGGCGCCTTCAACAATATTAACGCAAGCGCCATAACGGGTGCCTTAGAAGAGCTTGGAGTTGACCAGAATGTGGCGGTGCTGATCGAGTCTATACTTGTCAGCAGGACGATAACCGCTAAGCTCGGCAACACCACAATAAGCAGAAAGGTCTGTAGAGGCACTCCTCAGGGAGGGGTTCTCTCCGCTCTTCTCTGGAATCTGGCGGTGAACTCTCTGCTGGTGGCACTAGAGAGGGGGGGTTGCCATGTCACAGCTTATGCTGACGATCTGGCAATTGCCGTCAAAGGCAAATACCCAAATACACTAATGGAGATTCTGCGCTCTAGCATGGCCACGCTTAGGAACTGGACAGAGAGTAGGGGACTCGGAGTAAACCCCGAGAAAACCGAAGCAATTCTCTTCACAAGGAAACACAGGCCTCCCATTGTCTCCCCGCTAATCTTTTTGGGTGTGGAGATATCCTTGAAGGAGAATGTTAAGTATCTAGGACTCATATTAGACAGGAAACTAACGTGGAAACCTAATATAGAGGAAAGAGTAAGGAAGGCCAACGTTGCATTATACACATGCAAGAAAGCGTTCGAAATCAAGTGGGGGTTAACACCTCGTATTACACACTGGCTATACACCTCGGTGGTCAGGCCAATACTCTTATATGGAATACTTGTACGGTGGCCAGCAACTCAAAAGGCAAGTTACCTAAAACTATTGAGTAAGGTCCAAAGAACAGCGTTTCTATGCATTTCGGGTGCCTTAAGGACCACCCCAAATAAGGCGCTGGAGGTGATTACCAATTTACCCGCAATAAACCTGGTGGGAAAATACGCGGCCGCCGATTCAGCGCTCAAAATAAGAAGTATGGAGCTATGGAAGGATCGGCGGTTTGGTTACGCTTCCATACTTCACACTCTCGGTAGTTACAACCAAGAAGTTGACTACTCCGCTCCCAAACCAATCTTCAATACGCTCTTTAAGACGAGCATCCCGTCAAGAGGAGAATGGCAAACGCCAAGACCATGGAGACGGGGGGAATTGAATTTTTACACAGATGGATCCAAGCTAGACAATAGGGTTGGCTACGGAGTTTTCTCTAAGGAACTAGGACTGGAACTATCCGTCCGAATTCCGGACCACTGCAGTGTCTATCAGGCAGAGTTTTAGCTATAAAAGAGGTGGCTGTGTACCTTAGTACACATGCCGTAACGAAGACTACGATTAATATTTTCTCGGATAGCCAGGCGGCCATTAAATCAATGAACATGGTAATGCTGAGGTCGAAGGTTGCGCAGGAATGCCTCGCAGCTGTAAACGATATTAGCACCGTGTTCAAGGTCAGCCTCATATGGGTTCCGGGACACAGAGATATTGAAGGAAACTGCAGGGCTGATGAGCTAGCCAGGAAAGGTACGAATCTACCCCTATGTGAAAACAGGGGCACTATTGGGATACCCATGGCAACCTGCAAATTAGAACTTCGAAATAGCATGATCCAAGAGGCCAACAGGTCATGGCTAGAGGAGGGCACATGTAGAACAACCAGGCTGCTTTGGCCGCAAATAGAAAAGAAAAAGACGAAGGAGTTGCTGTGCCTCTCAAGAGAGGACATTGCGAAGGTCACGGCTTGTGTAACCGGTCACTGGCTATTCGGTAGGCACTCTTCAAGACTAGGAATTTTCTCCCACGAATATTGCAGGAAGAAACCGTAGAGCACTTCTTCTGCAGCTGCCCAGCTTTGGCCAAGAGGAGGGCAAGCTTTTTAGGCAGGCCCTTCTTTAGCTCTCTTACGGAACTATCACGCGTAGGAATAAAACCGATTCTACGCTTTATAAGAGCCTCAAATTGGTTCTCTGAAGAATAGTCACCGAGGTTCCCGTGTTCTGCAGTGGTACCACAATGGACCTTCAAAAGGTCTAAGTGAGTTGGTAAATTGAACCGACTGCCACATCAACCTAACCTAACCGTAAATACAATAGCGCAAAATAAATAGTAAATTCGTGGAAAATGCATTGCCTTATTCTTCTTCTTCTTATTTGGCGCTGTCACAGTCTAAGGGATTACGTTGTTTCTCTTATGTGCAAACTGCCGCCAATTGGAAATTCCAAGTAAAGCCAACTTCTTCCCCCCTTGGTATTTTCATCGCAGAGGGCCCTCCTCCTTCTCTGCTTCCACAAGCGAGTTCTGGATTAAATAAGTTCAGGGCTGCAGTGGCGTTGCCCATTCGAACGACAAGGTCAAGCCAGCTGAGCCGCTGTGTTTTGTCCATTCCGCTGTAAAGCTCACACAGCTTATCGTTCCATCGTCTGCCGTTGAAAATGCGTAAATACCTGTGAATCTTCCGCAAAATCCTTCTCTCGAATACTCCAAGAGCCGCCTCATCGGGTGTTGTCAATGTCCATGCTTCTGTGCCATATACCAGCACGGGCATGATGAGTGACTTATAGAATGTGGTTTTCGCACGCTGAGAGAGGACTTTACTCCTGAATTTCCTACTCAGTTCAAAGTTATACTTGTTGACAAGAGTGATTTTTCATTGTATTTTGATGCTGACATTTTCATCGGTGTCAATGCTGGTTCCCAAGCAAACGAAATTTTCTACTTTCTGGAAATTATAACTATCACATATAGGAGATACTTCGTATTATCCTCGTTTACCACCAGACCTATTCGTTTTGCTCCCTTATCCAAATTGGAAAAAGCAGAACAGACCGCGGCTTTTAGTACCGGTGATGCCGATTTCATCGGCATATGCCAGCAATTGCACGCTCTTGTAGTAAATTGTTCTTGAGAGATTCATTTCTGTAGCTCTTATTACGTCCTCCAACATCGGATTAAAGAAATCACGTCACCTTGTCTGAAACCCCGTTTGGTAGGAAATGGCTTAGAGAGGTCCTTCCCAATTCTAACGGAGCTTGTGGTATTGCTCAACGTCATTTTACACAGCCATTTTAGCTTCACGACGGGAATACCAAATTCAGTCATGGCAGCATAAAGACCACTTCTATTCGTCCCGTCTAAATTGGATTGGAAATCGACCAATAGATTGTATGTATCGATCCCATTCTTGAGGGTATTTTCCCAAGATTTGGCTTATTTTTAAAACCTGCTCTATGGTGCATTTCAGTCTTTCACACAATGCGCTTGATAAGGCCTTGTAACCTAAGCTTAGAAGGCTGATGCCGTGGTAGTTGGCGCGAATGGCGGGGTCGCCTTTCTTGTGGATTGGACAGAGCACACTTAAATTCCAGTCATCTGGCATGCGTTCATCTGAATATGTTCTGCAAAGAGTTGATGCATGCCCCTTATCAGCCCCTCGCCGCCGTACTTGAATAGCCCAGCTGGCAGGTCGTCAGCTCCAGCAGCTTTGTTGTTTTTCAGACACGTAATTGCTATTAGTATCTCGCACAACTTTCAGCGCTGCTACCATTCAGTGTGGTAGAAAAGTTCTCCCTCCATTAATATAAGTACGTTCTGGACATCAGTCTCTAGGTCGCCATGGTTGTTTTTACAGAAGATCGCCCTGGTTGTGAAACCTTCCGTAAGGCCCCTAACGCTCTGGTAAATTGGGTGTTTTTCCTGTCGGCCAGCATTCGTGTTATTGCAAGATAAAAAAATCTATGTCAGATAAAAGATGGAATCTTGCATTACATCCCAAATTTGTTGATGATTATCACAATTCAACATAAAAATGTATTATTTATTACATATTTAGAAAATAAAAAGAATAATTTTGATTTGAATTACCTAAACAGAGTGTTTTTCAAACACTTTAGTACATTGTCTCATGCAAGATAATAGTAATGGATTCTAAAATTTTTTCGATCACTTCTCCATAGTTTTTAGGCATAAAATAGCTCATGTACTACGTTTTATTAAAAATTCCAACATTGTCTGCCTCTGGGATGAAATGGGTTAAGCAACCATCTGATTTTCAAGGCAATCTTCTCCCCTTACGAAGCTCAAAGATCAGAGAATGTGCCTTTTGCTTTACAATAGAGCCTTCGATTTCCCGAGATTGTTCGAGAAGCAATTTCTCGCGAGGATCGCTTTCTCACGAGATTCTCGTGTATGGAAAAACTCGTTATACTCGCGAACTTCTCGGTGATGAATTTAAGGCAGCGTATTAGTTTAGGGTATTTAAACCCTGAACTGTTGAGTTTCTTTCAAGCACAATACTCGTAGCTCTCCAGAATATCAACCATGCGCATGTTCCTTTCCAGTGAGGTCTGTATTGTTCAACCATATGGACGAGCTTAACAAATAACAGATTGCACTGTTCCTATTCATTTATTACCTTTACTCACTTTCTTTGCTGGGGCCATCAAACGCCAATTATACACATACATACATACACAGCATACATATATGTACATCGAACTAAATTCTTCTTATATGCACAAACGTTTTTTTTTTTTTGACAATAGAATATTTAACATTTACACATACCTTTTTTATTTTGTTTTTAATACGTTCGATATGCTCTTACATATGTATGTCTCGATAACTACTCGAAATTTCTCGCGAGAATGGCGATACCCGAGATTGTGTCGAGAACTCGATTACTCGATTTCCCGGGTATCGAAATGCTCGAGAATGTGCCTGCAGGAATCGAAAGCCTAACTTTACAAGAGTGTAACATTTTAAGAAACGAACACAAAATTTTCTCACCGTTTGCCTTTATTTTATAATCGAACAAGAAAAGAAAAAGGGTCAATCAAAAGCGAAATTTTTTGGTAGAAACGAAAACACCATTAAATTATTTGAATTAAACAAATCGTAAAATTTCAAAATTACAAAATAGCTGCGACAGGTGTTCAGCATGCTATCATTTTTGTTAATTTCATGGTGCACTCTTGAAACTTTACAAATATGTTGTATTTGATGCCAACGTCCATTTCATCTAATATGAATGTTCTATTTGAAAACTTAGCAAAGTTATTAAAAAAAAACAATTGTATTTTTCCAGTGGCAATGAAAAAATGTGTAATTTCGGTACCTTTTCACCTAAATAAATGTTTTAAGGCTAAAGTTTTTCAAATCCTTGATTTATTTTTTATTTTACTTTTTCTTGAAATTCATTGATTGAAACAAATGCACGAAAAATGGTTTAGCGTTTTTTTT